CTCTCTCTCCACACACACATGCATTTACTCTGCATCTTTATAGACTTTCAAAGAAATATTATACAATTTTTCAGAAATACAAATAAGATCTTTTATAAAATTTTTACATAAAAGAAAAAATGAAACAGTCTGGTTTGGATAGAAATGCTTATTTTTATTGTTTTACAATAAAAATCAGTTGACACATTTTCTATGCAAGTATGACATAATTTAAAAATAATGTCCAATAAAGGAACTGAAAGGAGTGAATAAAATGATTACTTTTTGATGCAGTATGTTCCTCATATACATATATGTTTTAAAGGAAATCGCTATTGCTTATCCTTTATGCAGAGCTAAGCAGATGCTTGGGTTTCTGTACACCATATATAAATGTTTAAAAGTAGACAGGCCCCAGTATGCATGCAAAAGCCCATCTTGCATTTGTTCTATTGTTGCATCAAATTGAGACCCACATTAGGTTCAGAACATTACTTTCAGTCCTTTTAAGCATTCCCAGAAATGCACCTGATGCTCAGGTTTTCAATTCTGTGATTCTAAATTATCTGCTTCTATCTAGCATGAGCTTTCTAAAGCCTAAGTACAGGGGTATACATAGCACTTTACATATGGCTCATTGCCCTAAAATTTTTGAGATTATTAGAACTGCATTATTGGGAATATAGGCAATGTAGAAATCCATCCAGACATGAAGTAGTCTGTCATGCAGTGAATATCTCTGAAGTAGGGAAAATTGCCCTCTTGAGTAAGTACAGCAATAATAACTGAAATTTCAAAACCATCGTCAGACCTCATTTTAGCCATTATTTAAAACATCTTTTCTGCATAATATCTTGCATCATCAGTTAATTCAATGACCAAAATTTGCCTCCTCTTCCTGCTCATCGTCCAGCAATTGTGACCATGACCAACAGAATTTTAAAGATTTGTAAAATGTTTAATTCTGTGGACATGTATAAACAAAAATGCTTGGAAAACATGAAAAACAGATTTCATCTTACATTTTTTCTTATATTGCGATTTTTTTCCATGTGCTGAGGATTGAACCAACAACCTACACATACTAGACAAGTATTCTACCACTGAACCTTCACCCTAAGCACTGGACCTATAATTTTTAAGTAACCGCATGAACTTTCATTTATAAGCCTTTTAATGTAAAATACAATTATATAGCTATTTGCTTTACTTTCTTCTTCTGCAGGAGTCGATTAACTGAGCCAGAGCAGAAACACTTTGTGCTTTGATTTCCTTTGTAGTCCCAAAGATTATCACATTGCCTATACATAGCAGACTCTCCGTTAATACTTATCAAATAGATTAATGAATGGATTTTATGAAATTAATAGACTACACTACACAAGAGTGAAAAATGAAAGAATTTAAGTGTTTTGGCGTTCCCAGGACCTATGGTTCCAACAGAGGATAAGCCATGTGCCAAAAAATAAGTATCTAATCACATACGACTTTCTTGGTCTCTTAAATCAGAAAATATTACAAGGAATGTGGGTAGTTAAAGCAAATTAATTTTCATTGTTAAAAAACTACTAGCATGTAGTAGGAGTAAAAATGACTATCTTTATATGGAAATGGTTGTTTGTCATGTGCACAACTACTTTAATTCATCTTTTTATCTTTTAAAATCATATACTTGTTCCTAATGACAAATTTTAAAATTTTGTGATGTAAAGCATGATGTTTTGCAGTGTACATACACTATGCAATGACTAAATCAAGCCAATTGGCACATACATTACTTCACGTATTTATCATTTTAGTGAGAACACTTAAATTCTACTTTCACAGAATTTTAAAGTATGTAATACATTGTCATTTACTTCATCTTATTAAATGCCAATTTTTATTGCTATCTAAATTTGCTAAGGAAAATACTATACTGATTCTATTGATCTACACTGCTTTATTAAATAACTTACCTTTGATCTCCTTTGCTTTAGGTGGTCCAATATTTCCAGGACCCATGGCCCCAATAGAAGATGAGCATTGTGTCTTGTGGAGAAAAAAAAGTCCAACATTTGTAATTACTACTTGTATAATGTATACGACTAGGAATAATTTAAACCTGGTAAGCTTTCCATCTGAAAAAAACTCATAAGGCGTTCCACTTTAATTATTCATCATTACACAATATAGAGACAGATGCCAAGTATTATTTTCAATGTGCTTTCCTTGTCCTTTCAAAAGTATTTTGTTTAATAGACTCTAGGGCAGAATTGATTTTTGGTCAGACTAAATCCCCAGTTCCAGCTCAGTGAATCATATATCTCTGGGGAGACGGGGAATGAGCCACATTCATCTCTATGAAGGTTAGAATCAAGTGTTAGCAGAAAAGCAGAGGCACTTTGGGGTTTTGGCAGTGTCTGGTCATAGTTAGATGGAGAACAGAAGTATGGGAATAAGCTATTTAAATAACAAATGGACAAGTATAAAGAAGCTAAGAATTTAGACATCAAAGGATCCATTTAATAACTGCTTTTACTTATACTTTTGGTATGAAATATTTCTCTTTCCCCCACCTCCTAATGCTGAAATAGTGAATTTATACAGAAACCTCAAAATAGTGCCCAAAACATGCCAAACCACTTAATTTATCATACAAGTGTATGTTTATTTTACCATTTTCTGCACAAATGTGCACACCGTTACAGAACGATCTTCATTTCTTAATTGAGTACAACTACCTCACTAGCCCCTTTTAGGGATTCACTAATGTTTCAAGAAAATCTCGATTTCTTCCTAATTGTTCTTATTCACACCAGACCAGACTGTGCAGTTGTCTTTCACTCCATTACTGGTAGTCAAAACATTGTTTCCCTGGATCCTAGAAATCTAGCACTTTAACTACCCTTTCTCTAGTCCTTGCCCTCATCTTCTAAGACTCCAGACATGTAGAGAACTTGGAACGCACTGTTTGGGTGAGGCGAGTAGTGTCTGTCCTTGTAAGCTGGTGGGAAATCTTACCTAGTTCTTTATTATGTTAAACTTGTCCAACAATTTTAAATCAGAAATTAATATGTAGCATGTCAACAGTGTGTGAAACAGTATTCTTTTTCAAAAAGGAGATTTTTTAACTACTTGTTTTTCATTGTTTTTATTTTGTCTGTATGAGCGTATTGCCTGTATGTGTGTAAGTGCACCATGTCGTGTAATGCTTGCAGAGGTCAGAAGATAGCATCAGAACCCCTGGAATTGGAGTTATGATGGTTAGCCACCATGTGGGTGCAGAGATCAAGTCCAGGTCCTCTGCAAGAGCAGCCAGTGCTCTTATCTACTGAGTCATCTCTCCAGTCCCCATTAACTATTTTGTTATTACGTACATTTTATGTATATGAGTGTATTGCCTTCGTGTATGCAAGTGCACCCGTGTCATGCAGTGTCCAGGAAGTTCAGAGGAGGGTGTCGGATCCCCTAGAACTGGTGTGATGGATGACTGTTAGCTGCCATGTGGGTGTGCTCTTCACTGCTAAGCCATCTCTCCAGGCCCCCAAAAGAGATTTAAAAGTGCTATGTATTCTGTTAAGGCATTGCAGGTGTTTTTATGTGAAAGTCCCAATAGTATCCTGAACATTTTTCTCTGCTTAATCACTAAGGTCATATAAATGTGTAGTACTTATTAAATTATTAATCATCAGAATACTAATAGTCAATCAGAGCAAAGCAGCTCTTAGAACCTGAGGGCCTCTTGTTTTGCAGTGTCTCTTTCCACATAAAATTAAAATCAGTAGAAATGAAACCTCGAACATTCTGGCAAAAAAAAATTGATATGCTCTTCGTGGAGAGTTATGATTAGATCAGTATATCAGAGCAGAGGGGAGCTTCAATGTATTAACTTTGTGAAAATAAATGATTAAAAATAAAAGTTTCAATTGAAAGGTGGAATGAGATAATTAAGAAAAACATTAAAAATCATCTGGTAATTGTTTTCTATGAGGGAATCACTTAAGTCTATGTGATGAATCTACAGCCAATTAGCTGAGCAATTTGTCATTCTAGTCCACACCACTTTACAATATATGAGACATTTTGAACATCCTTGTCATAGTGTCTGTGAAGACTGGTGAACCTTATTTCCCACAAGTCTTGAGATCCTCTCAGGAGTTTGAAAAACAATAGACTCTTTTCCCAATTTCCCAGAGTCTTAACAATTCATTTAGAAGAGAGGCAGTGCAAATGAACCAATGTGTATGCAACAGTTCTCTTGCTGTTTTTCAGACAGTACGTTTTAGAAAACACCTCACTCTTGTAATCATTCCATAGTTCTCCGCATTAATACATGTTAAAAATTGAAAGGCATTTTCTCTCCTGAAAAATTTAAGTTTATTAGAAACATCAATTATTCTCCTACCATACTGATCTAATTCTATACCCTCAAATGATATGTGTACTGAGATGTCTGAGTGACCAATTATCTCAAAATTGCTTGTAATCCACATAATATAGAATCAAATATTATTATAGCAATTTTCCCTTATGAATTGTACAATTCAGTAAAATGATGTTATAGTCTCTCTGTTTTCATAAACACCCATTTTTCCTCCAAGAAATACCTCTATATGCAAATAAACATCTCTAGACATAAACATCAAAGGGAACAGGCTTTGTACCCAGTGCCAATCCTTATCTCTGCATCAGTTCCAATTACAAGCCCCACTTAACTATATTCAGGATAACTATCTCTCAAAGATTTAGTATGCTCTTTCCAGTGTGGAATAAGCCTACCATTCTGAGGACGCATGCTTCAGAAAGTTTTTCTGTTATTTCTACTAAGACAGCAAAATTAACTTGCTTTCCCAACGTCATGGTTACATTGCTCCTATCTTTTTCTCCCATATACTATCTGTGGTATATATTTAATGCTATTACTAATTACCTTATTTTTCTTTATTTGGCTCTACTAAAACTTTTCTCTCTGACTTCATATCTCCTTATCTTGACTCCAGGCTGACTCAGTTCCCCATCACTACAATTTTATTTACATTTCATGTCTTATTTAACTCTACTCCTTCACCTAATGAGGATAACTGCTGATCGACACTGAATTTGTGGCCTATTTATAATATAGCTGCTTCTCACCTTGTGGTAAAAAAGAATTTGGGGGTCTGAAAAGATGGCTCAGCAGTTAAGAGCACTGGCTGTTCTTGCAGAGAACCTGGGTTCAATTTCCAGCACCCACATGGTGACTAACAACCACCTGTAACTCCACTTCCAGGGGATCTGATGCCCATTCCTGGCCTCTGTAGGCAGTGTATGCATAGGTGCATTTACATACATGCAGGCAAAATACTCATACACATAAGAATTTAAAAATTAAAAGTTAAAAAAGAATTCTGAGAGGAGTAAACTGAAATGCACGTTTGTAGATCATATTTAACTGGTGATCATAATCACTACAGTTTCACTAAAGTAACTTCATGAGGGGCTGGAGAGATGTCTCAGCAGTTAAGAGAACTGACCGCTCTTGGAAAGGACCCGTGTTGGGTTCCCAGTACCCTCATGACAGCTAACAATCATCTGGAACTCCAGTTCCAGGGCATCCAATGCAGCTCTTCTGGCTTACCTTGGGCATTGCATGACACCGGGTGTACTTACATGCAGGCAAAACACTCATACCATACACATAAAAATAAACATAATAAATAAAATACTTTTAACTTTATGAAAATTGAAATATTTAGTTCTAGTGTCAGATTTCTTTACCAAATTCTGTCTTCTTATGGTTAGTCTAACTGCCAAATTCACCGATATTTAAGGAGGAAAAGGGAGACCAGGGAATTATATGAAAGTGTTTTGATTATCCAGGAAATAACAGCAGTGAGCTTGGATTAGGCAAAGGTCAGTTCAGGTAACTCCTCTAGCTCAAATGAAGTTCATCTTGCTACTGCAAGGCTTGATCATTACCTGTCCCGCCTCCCAAATGGCGTTTATTTTATTAGAGTTCATATCTCTATTTAAGTATGTGCTGGGAAAACACTACTAAAGCCAAGAGGTCCTATTATTTGGTTCAAAATATTTTCTGTTGTTCTCATATGCACACTTTTAAAAATTTAAGGGATGGGGTTGGGGGTTCAATTTCTACTGCATAGTTGAAAATATGTGCCTCATAGAAATATTGTCTAGGCATAAACAGTCCTAGTTACCACTCTGTACAATGGTTGTCAAGCATTCTTTGAACATAAATATAAATGACAAACATTTTGAAATGTGGCTATTGCTACCATAGTTACAGAACTATTTTCCTATTCAGTGTTCAGGTGGTGTAGAAAAAATATAATTATGTTTGCTAGAAATGTACTAGCGGTTATAGTCTCGTGCATAATCAGCTTTGCAGCCTCTTGTGAGTCTATCAGAGGAAATGGCTCTGCTCCCACAGTAAGGTGGGAACAACTTGTTCAAATATAGTTCCATAACTTCCCTGAGCAGAGCTAATTTATCTTTAAGTATATGGCTACCTGTTCAGAGTCAAATTCATCGTCTTCTTCAGGGTTAAGAAGACTAGACAGTGCTTGCAGTGCCAAAACAGATGAAAGAGTCTCAATTTCCATATTTTTAGGTCCCTTGACTTCTGCATCCATATTTTCTATTTCCAAATTTTCTGCTTCCATACTTGTAGCTTCTGTGTTTTCACGTTCCATATTCTGAGGAAGAAGGTAGATATAAATACTTTAGTTTTCTAAGACATTACTATTTTTTCTTTATCAGGTATCACTTCTTTCACTGGGTCACTCCTCTGCCTTTCATTCATATTTGGAAATATGTGTAAAGGCCTTTACGTATATATGTTTTGCTAATTCACAGAACGAGGACAGTAAGTAAATTCAAGCAGCAAGCCTTCTTTACTAAAACTTCACGTTGAATCTAACCAGTACATACTGGGTTTTAGTTTGCTTAAGAATAACTAAGGGAAAAGCTATGGATGTAGATTAATGGTAGAATGCTTGCCTAGCATGTTCAAAGCCCTGGGTTCAATTCCCAGCACTCTAAAAATAAAAACAAAAGAGAATCACTTGAGAACTTGATTAAAAAGCAAGTTGCTACTGGTTCTGTATGGATTTGGGAACGCAGTTTTTACACTATTTTTATCTGTTTCATACCTATTGTTCAGGATGTACATTCTATTTAGTGAACTAAAAAAGATTTTGCTTTAGGGATATGCCCAGACAACTGTTACTTATTCCATACTTCTGCCACAGGTAAGTTTATACATTTTTGCTTTATTTAAAATGCTAACTGATGAGCCCTAGCCTTATACAGCCATTTGAGAACTCCAATGTATTGGCTCATTGGATTTAGTGAAATTCATGAACAATGAAACAAATGTCTTTATAATTATAATAGTAGTGAAATAATCCTATCATCCTAGCAATGATTTTGAAAATAATCTCTGTGGTTATATCTAGAGTAGGAAATTTAGAATTTTAAAAACTCTCAGAGGTGTCAGACTTTACTGAATCCTGAATGAAGACTATAGAGTTGTGCCTATTATTAGTAATTTTGGCATAACTCTAGTAAGTATCTTTTCCACAATTCTTCAGCTATTTTAAAAAAGTATAATTTTATAAAATTAACTCCCAGGAAATTTTCTTTAGTGCTTTTATTAAATTATACATGAAAATTTTAGCACTGTCCCTAGAATGGTAAGAAAAGAGATTCTCAAAGTGTATGCTGCTATATTCACTTGTCAAAAACAGCTCTGCACGGAAGATGGTATTTTCTAAATCTTATGTTTTATCAATATTTTGACTTTCTTTGTCAAATATAAGACGGATCTTGATACCTACTGGAGATGTCAAAGGTATGAGACAAATTGCTCTGCACTTCTATTACAGAGGCGATGTATCATAGCACTTAAGAGTAAAAGTACTATAGTTATGCTGTTTGGAATTGGATGAATCATGTACTTCTTATCTCTGTGATTTTGAACAAATTATTTAAATTCTGTATACATAATTTTCTTTATCTATAAAGTGGAGATAAAAATAGTGTCTATCTCTTTGAATTGTTACAGGGATTAAGCAGTTTAATATATGTAAAAGAGCTTAGAATCATGCCTGGAACGTAGTAAGCGCTCAACATGTTAGCTGTTATTAGTTCTTTAAAAGTTTAATTTTTCTGGACATGAGCATCATTTTTAATAATGACATAGGATAAGTTAATGATAAATAGCTCATTAAATTGAAAACTCATTTAACTGAAAAAGATGATAAAACAATTTTCTGTCACAGTATGGGCTTGTAGACTGCTATGGATATGAAAAAATTGACACAGATTAAACAAAGAGGCTCCTGTTTATATTTAAAAATTCTCTGTTGATTATGTGTTCATTAAATATTCAGCTAATATCAAAAGCAAAATGTTATTGAAACATTTTCCATCTTTGACAATGAAAAAGAAACATGCATCCAGATATCAGATATAACTAGTGTTTCTGACTTGTAATTGTATAATGAGATGTTGAAGAAACAAGTACAACAGAATTGGTTACATCAGTAGTACTCTGTAAATTTGTTATGATGATCAATTATAGCACACAGATTGTTAAAATATGAAAAGCTGTATAATATCATTATTATCTGATATATATCCAGTACCTATGGATAGTTGCTCATGAGACGTGGGGACGTTCAATGGGGGGCAAGAGAAAGGAGAGTAAACAGACCAGTAAAGCTAAGCCATAAGAAGAGTAATTCAGATGTTCCAAATATAGCATCTGAGGTAACAATAACAATAGGTACTCAGACGCTCTTCTCTCTCTGGCAAGAACATAGCAGTATGTGTTTCTGGACATAGAGAGGTATTTAAAGTGAAGAAGGACCCCAGTTCACAGGTAGAAGTATAGAAGGAAAGGTCTAATTATTGAGACGTGTCAAGGAGTTGGAAGCTAGGTGAAGATTCAGAATAGGATATGAAAGAAGGTTATGGCTCTGACGGTATATTGGATACAGGATTGAGGAAAAGCAAATTACTTTTAAATCACTATCAGTTATTTGAGAAGGATCTTTGACTAGCTCCTGAGTGGGAAGTAAGGAAGTGAGGGCAGTGAGAAGTTACACCTGTAAAAGAGAATCTTCAAAACTAAATACTCAGCAGTTTATGAATGTTGAATGAAACATGATTAAATTCATATGAATATGGCATTTCAAAATAGTAACCTTGAAAAGTTATATACCGATGGTATACTATTAATGTTCAAAGTATTTTAGAATTTTTCTTTTCTTTTGGAATTTCCTTCATATGTATCACCAAAAAATACATATTGTAGCATTATTCAGTTTGATTATGTATCAGATTTGTCTCCAACTGATTTCCAGATATATCAAGACATCACATCTACTTTCAAAATAATTAATATTTCCTTCTTTGAGGTATTCAAAAGAATGTGGTATAGGCCTCAAAGCAATTTTTAAAAAGTAGTTTTAAAAGGAATTTGAGCAATAGCAACATCATTAGAACATGTAGCTTAGCCTCCCAAAGTAGCTACATTGTAGGGATGCTACACCATAGGATGTATGTCTGTGTTTAACAAACAAATCATAAGAATGCTTAGCAATAATTTATACACCAGATACATATGAGGAACTGGACTCTAATTGGACTTCCAAATTATACTGGCCTAATTTGAGAAACACAAAAATCACAAATATTTTGTGAATAATCAAATAGCTCAAAAGAGAAAATCAATTATGTGAATTTTTTAAAAGCTATAAATTCAATGAAAATGAAGATTCTATTAATATTTTTAAAAGTCTAGCAAATTAAAAATGTTAAATTATTAAAGAATATTTACTAAAGCTCATTTCACCCAAACATCATACTTTTTAAAAAGCAAAGAAAAAT